TTGAGAATGAAATGTGATTTTTAATGCAGCTAATCCTTTTAAACACATAGCAGGCTCATTATGGCCTAAGGATAGGCTACAGTAGTGTCTGTGTGAGAAAGCATTTTGCGTTGCTGTTTCTTAAACTAGCTGTGTATATGTGACAAAATGTGCTTTATCTTTGTTGGCAACATTAAAGAAAAAAAATATATCATTCCAAATTAGATCTCGACTATTACATGGCTCAGAGCGCTTATGAGCAAAACAGGTTTTATCTTTATATATATATATATATATATATATACTGATAAACACAGTCATGCATACCTGGGTCATTTTATGAAATAAGTCCCTTTACCATGTTGAAATGGTGTTTATTTTTATTTTTATTTTTTTTTTAAAGTAACTAATGAGTTTTTATGTTCTAATAAACCGCATTGTTCCGCTTCAAGCTATATTAAACCATTTGTATAGAAAATGTCATGAAATAAAGTAATGGCTGGGAGTTTATATACTAATATATAAAGGTTGCTTTTCAGAAAGCAAATTTAATGCAGATAATTCAGCAATTATCAAGGCTTACATTAAGACCATTGAATAGAGATATTTGGATTAGTTTATAGTTTACACCGAGAAAAAAAAACTATGATGGTAACAGATTTTACATACCACCATCCTAATACATTATTGAAATATTTTTTTTTATATTATAAAAATGGTTGCTTTCACACACACAAACACACACCTCAGCCTGAGAATGAAAGAACAGTGAAGACTGGAGTAATGACTGCTGGAAATTCAGCTTTGCCATCACACACACACACAGTGTCACATAATCCTTCCGAAATCATTCTAATATTATGATTTAATGATGTCAAATATGAAAATTTTATCTTTCTTCTTTTCTTAATGTTGAGTTGTGCTGCTCAATACTTTCTTGGAAATATGATAATTTTTTTTTGTCAGGATTCCTAGATGAATAGAACATCATCTATTTGAAATAGAAACATTTTTGTCAGATAAATGTCACCGTCACGTTTGTTCATTTCATTGTGTCCTTGCTGAATAATAATAATAATAAATTATTGACCCAAAATCTTTGAAAGGTAGTATTTTATTTTCATTTGCTCATACAGCAAGGCAGATTAAGAGTTGAAATAACAATTATTCATTGTTAAAACATGGATCTCTATAAATGGGACACAGGTAGCACCCAGTTTGTAGAACGATCCACCTGCTGTGCTTGTTGTCGTCACAGCATTCAGAGGACTGATGCAGCTGTGGTGCCAAACTCAGGCTCAGTTTACCTGTGCCTCTTACTCATTACAAAGCTCTAATTGAGACTTCTTCCAGCTCTCAAGACCAGTCTAAAAGAAGGGGCTTCACAAAGCTTAGCAAATGAGCACACCAAGAGCAAGAAGACTTGGTGTCTTGACACACTTGTGGGAGGCTGTCGTTTCAGAGCACCCCCTTTATAACGATGGCACATTGAACGTCAGTCAGCCTCGACACTGCTGGCAAGGAGATTACGGCTCTTTGCAGCCTACCGCTTGCTCTCTTTCCCCCTCCACTAGCATTTGGAGAGAGAAACATTCAGCAGAGTCAAGTGAAGAAATCACTTTCATGGCTTGTTTTGGGGAGGAACAGCAGAGAGGTTTAATATTAGCAATTTGGCTTCTCGATAAAAACTAATTTGTCTCTGTACTGTGAAGCAGAGATGTAACACCTAATGAGAAGAGATAATAAATTTGCCTTCAATCTGGCATTTTTCATCATGTTTATTTGACTGCACTTCACAACCTTGACAAAATCACATTTTGCTTTCGCAAGTTTACTGGCGCCGCATGAATTAAGGAGAGAGCTGAGAAGGAAGGAGATACAGTACCAATAAAGATGTATTTTGTAAGAAAGCAACCATTTGAAAACCATTCCCTCCATCCGCACTTATTTTACAGATTTATCCGCTCTCCAAAATAACAGCAGTGCACGGAAGTCATCAGCTTGTTCCAGCATTTGCATAGCCTAGGCTTTCAGTGCAACATATAATTTCGCTGCACATTACATAAAGGACATTCAATCGAACACACTGGGTCAACTCTGCCACACAATGGTGCCTGTGTACCTGCAAATGAATAAAGCCCCAGTGGCGTGTGTGTCTGTCGTCTCTGTCAGATTTTAATGGGATCATATATTATTTAAACATTCAGGACAAGTTAATACACTCCGCGTAGCATACCTGTCATATTAAATAATTAACCGTGGCTGAGCAAAACATTAAATGGGAAATAAAGCATTAACACCAATGCAATTTTCCCAAAGAGATTCCTTTCTCTTCTCTTCAACATGTTTTCAAACCATAACTGTTGCCTTTATTTAAACAACATCAGGCAAAATGTGTTGTTCTGGATATCAGCACGACTGTGATTAAGCTGTCGGCACAAAGCCAGAGGATAATTGATATGCAGTTCTACAGGTATATTTGATATCGCTTATTAATTAAGTTATGCGACTTCCATTTCAGACACAATTAACATGTTATTTATTATATATTTTTTTTTCTGTTTGTATTAATCTGCTTGTCTGGGTTTGCACAGTCCAAACTATCAGTATGTCATACTGTCACTGCATCATTCATTCGACTGATTTGTTCAATCAAACAACTGTTGATCTTTACGACTGAGTCATCAATCCATTCTCCCAACCTATTCATTTAGCTACAATGATTCATTATGGAATGAGTCATTGAATAATTCACTCAAAACTTGTTCAAATGTTCTGATGGGGCTGGTTTAGGTGCTGACTTAAGTGCCATTCACATATAGCACCGTAGAAAATAACACAGTCTCATCCCAAGAAGTCATATAACTGACGTCTTGGGACGTCTTTTGACCATACGTCAATAACCGCCTTTTTAGGGCCCCCTTAAACGTCGGTAGATGGCGATCCCGGGCCGTCATACAACTGACGCTTTACCTTTAACGTCAGTTAGGTGACAGGTAGGTTTAGGGGTAGGTTTAGGTCTGGGGTAGAGTTAGGATCCGATAACCTCATCTACCGACGTTTAAGGGTACCCTAAAAAGGCGGATATTGACATATGGTCAAAAGACGTCCCAATACATCAGTTATATGACGTCTTGGGATGAGACTGCGCTGTAGAAAACGCTAGGCGCACCACATTCTCCTTTTTACAAAGCGCTAGGGCGGTTGCGCTCCGGAGGGGTCTATCGTTGCTGTGGTTGGTTCTTGTTACTTGACCTACAGTGCAGCAATCTGAAAAGTTGAGATGTTTTTATCTCGATGCGGTGTGGATGCGCATGGAAAAAAAACAAGCGCACATCATCGCAACTGCGTCGCTTCAATTATGAGCGCACATATCGCACGCCTACATTTGAAATAACAAATTTGACCATGCAAAAGACGAGATATGTCCAGCATCCCAGTGACAAGCAGTTTGGAAATGTATGGATTGATTTGTTCAAATGCACTGATTCGTTCAAGAGCGAGTCATTAAATCATTCACCCGATTCAGTTCACTGATTAATTCAGGAACTATTAAAAACCACTAACGTGTGTTGCTTAGAGATGTGCCGTTTCTGCTACTGTATGTTGTGCTTGGAACTATTTGCTGGTGGAGCAAAGATGTAATCAGCAATGTGTCTAAAGTTACTGAAGTCTAAAGTGTCTAAATGTGTCTATAACTGTACTAACTTATTGCTTACTTTATTTATAGTAAAATGTTGTATAACATATCACACTCACAATCAGAATAGCAGTGTTGGTCGAGTTTCATGTGCTGCAATTGAGTTCAAATTGTACCGTTCGTATGTTTTGACTGACCAAAGTAGAGCAGACACGGGTCAATGCAAGTGATGCTGACAGCGGCTCTCCTGAATAAACATGTTGTGTCCTCGAAGTTGCCCTTGCAACCAGGAGAACGTGTTCTTTATTAGTCCTCACCTACTTGAGTTCCTGTGTCAGCTCTGCTCAGATTACAATATCATGTATTGTTTAAAACTGCCTCATTAAAGGGAAAACTGTCTCTAGGAGTGTATGAGCCAGGTTGAAGAGGAGAAGGATGATTCCATTGGTCAATTGCGCAATTTCTGTTAAAAATTGTACAACCCATGTCTCTTTAGAATTTCCTCTTTACAAGCGTGGCACAAAACTCCTTTCTATTATTTCAGACGCCTAGGGCTGACCATGCAGTGTTTGCCTTTTACCCGACAGTGGGTGTGAAGTGAGGTTACCACACAGCCGATGCTGACTACTCTAAGTGCTGATGAAATATAGATGTTGAAGTCTGGACCGCTCAATGTTTCATCTCTCTTGGCGATACCATAAGGAAGCCATTAATAGTGTCAGAGAGCATTAGTTCTACAAAAAGAAGATAACTAGGTGTAAGACAATGACTGGCAGCACCTGCTTGGAATCAACTAGGCGTCCCTCAAGTATTAGGGAAAATAGTTTGTCCCCCGCTGTGCTGGCTCGACCCATTCTTTTTCCTCATATGTATGCGAGGTCACTTGAAGACGGTCATTTCCCCCTACGCTGCCTTTGTCAGTGTGCAGAGGCCCTGCATCATGCATAATCGCAAACAGCAGGGCCATCTGTTGTTGCCTTGTTGACTTACCTACGTGCAACCTTTTTAGTGTTGGTTTTCATGTATCAGTCTGATGTAGCACCATATTTACAATATGCTAATTGGTTAATGAAATCCTGTTTGAGAACCCTTGCATATGTTATAAAGCCTGTGCTATGTGCTTGTTTTTTCGGTATTTGGAGCACAGGAATAGGCATGCACTGAGAAGCCATTTGTTGGCTGTATATTCCACTGGCGCAGATTGATGACCTTAACCTTTATTCACTCAATTGGCTTTTCTATTTCTTCAGAATAAGTGTACATAATAGGTCACTTTGTTCTGCCTTATTACGAAACATGCAATTTATAGCAACTGTGTTTGAATGCAACAGTTTTATCCCTACTGAAACAACTAACACAGGGTGATTTGTTTCTCTTCTAGAACCAGAGCCAGACCCCAGATAAAACATTCTCTATTGTCCCAGCCACGTGCCCTCACAAGGTAAGTCACTGTCTTGCTAATGGTTCTGTTTATTAGAGGCATCACTATGTGATAAAGCTGTTGCAGCAAGCTGCACCTTCGTAAAGCTTTGGTTCTCAACTGTTCTAATAAACACAGAAGGAAAAAAAACAATGTGGAAATGTGCTTTTTGTTTAACATCAAAGGCCTCGGTCCCAATGTCATGGGTTTAACTACTACTCTGTATAAATACATTAAATCGGTGATGCAAAAATTCACTTTAAAAACGTTTTAAATGATTGATTTTATTTGGATACTTGTGTCATTTTAGAAATAGCAGTGTTATTCAATTACTAGTGTCTTGAAAGATTAACATTAACTAAGATGATGGCAAAGTAAATAATTATCCAATAATTATCCAATATCTATTGGATCCATCACAAATATTCACTTACACAGATCCGATATGATATCAATGTGTTGTGCATCCCTAAAACATATTAAATTCAGCAGATGTTGATGATGTTTTCAATGACAGGTTTTCTTTACTTTTTGTTTACTTTTATGTGATTTTGCTACTGTGTTGGGTCCTCACTTGGTTTGTGGACTAAAGCAAATCCTGTTGAGAACTGTTGATATATACACCTTTTTTTTTTAATCTGGGAGATCATCTTATTCTCTGAATATTTTTTTTCTTGGATACGTTGAAACTGAACAACGTTTCTTTTTCCCCACACCGCCATGTACCAGAGCAAGGAGGCATGACAGCAGATATTTCCTTTTTATTGTGTCTTATCTCATGTTGGAAACAAGGCCCTGAATTAAACCGTAATATTGCTACAAGATGTTGAATTATCTGTGATTTCATGCTTTGGGTTCAGGATTTACCAAAACAGTGACAAGAATCAGTCATATTCTTGGTGTAGAGGAACAAAAAGAAAGTATGTTTTCCTGCTTGAAAGCTGGCTGCCTCTGTTTTTTTCACGCGTCCTATGTGAGAAACGCAATAATGTGTTATATTGCCAAACCTCGCACTATTGTCAGTCCACTAACCTCAAATGTGGCAAAGTGCTCATTTCCTTTTCTGGTTGACTTGGCAGGTCAAGAGTAAAGACCTTGCACAAAAAAGTCAGTCAAAAGCAGGGATGGGCAAATCTAAGAGCCTGTCAGCCAGGGATCCAATTCGACAACCCCTAATATACCAACTGCCATTAAAAAGTGACTTGAAGCTGCAAGGGAAAGCTGCAAAATATTTATAAAAATCTCCCCAGTGCTCATTGTGAGATGTATGAAAAGGCAATCAGCTTTGTCCTGGACCTCTCGGCACACAACGGGGCTCTAATTGCTGACCAGTCCTTCACACGAGCCTGCGCGCTTTTCACCCCTGTCGAGATCACCTCTAATAACACGTTCTATATAGTGCTGATGTGCTCGAACTCACCTGCTCGACACCCAGGCTGCAACATTTGTCCTTGAAATATGGAGAGCGTTGCAATTCCCATGTTGCTGTCAGCTCTCCTTGAAACAGCTGATCTGGATGGAGGTAATGAAGGGATGCCACCGATTTGTGATGGCGTTAACGTTTCCCGCGACCAGCAGAACATAATCTCTGTCTCGTCGCTTCCCATTAGCGCCTGTTATCTGCACAAACCAATATGCAAAGAAAGCAATGGAGCAGTGGAGTAATTTGGCGTGTCACTCAGCTCCGAATGAAAGTATAATGGCTAAACGGTTAGATATGATTTCTATAATAGGAGTGTCGTACTGTGTGGACTGTTCCTATTTTCTTTGCTGGTATTGTATGCATTCACAATGAAAGGGAGCTAATGAACAGAGAGCTTTTAAAAGCGCCGTGATTAAATGGAAAGGAGAGCCGAAGAGAAGGATGGCGGGAGAACGAGAGAGCGAAGCTGAGGGGGGTAGAGAGAACACTAAGTATACATAATTGCTGCTTGACACATTGGCCAAATTCTGCTGTGCCAGTATTGGAGTGAAGATGATTAACGGCTGTCCGTGTGGGTGGGCAACTTGGTCACCCAGGGCTTCTAGTTTCCATAGCAATTGTACTTCAAAGGCCATACATTACATCGTGAGAGTCCCTGAGGCCTGAGCATTGTTAAATTCCCCAATAATATCTTACATTATGCGTTTGTCCTCTCAGCAGTAATTCATTCCAGCCACTGCGATTCACAATAGGTCAGTAGTGAAAGTGGAGAGAGTCCCAATTTCAAACCTCCTATCAGAACGTGAAGGAAGGCTCATCTCAGCGCTTAACGTTGATGAAGTGGCCCCGGCTTGAGGAAAGTGATCATTTGTCTGACATTACAGCGGGCACGTCTGCTCTGCCGATTCAACGTACGACCGGGCTGATATTCTGCAGGTATTCAGACACCGCTCATCTAGGCTTTGATTTAACCCTAGCAGGCGTCGCATCGCAGAGCCTCCCCGTCGAGCCGCCAAAACAGATGGCAGATGGAGTACCTAATTTGACCCTTCCCTTCCTGTGCGCAATGCATGCAGAACCCTGGCACGAGCTGCCTGATCTGGGCACGGTGCGGCCAACATACCCCTCCATGCAAACACAGACACATATTCCATCTGCGGGAGGGAGGGAGGGGTGTTGTTGCTCTCTCCCTGTCAACGCTCTGAAACTGGACCTTGTGACCGCGCACTCCTCCACATCCTACTCAAAATGGTGTTTTGAACTTGGGGAAACCGGTGGTGAATAAGCACATCTTAAAAATGATTCATACCAGATAATAAATGGAAATCCCTCCAGCCATGCAACAACAGGCTAGTCATGCAGCAATTAAGCTTATAGCATGCAAAACTCAAGGCAGTGTGCTCTGCATTCATACGCTAGTCAGGAGGGAGTAGGCGTGATGCTGGAAGACAAGCAGCAAAATGCCCGAATCCATACCGCCGTCTCAGTGTGGAGCCTGAGGATGCTTTGGCATACATCTTCAGACAAACATGTAGTAGATCTGGAAAAACTCACAATCAGAAAGGTCAGTTGTGACCTCTGGGTGCAGGGCTATGCTGAGCCTGTCACTAGCAAGCACAGCATGTTCATGTCAAAAAGAAGAAAAAAAAAAAAAGGTACACCGGCCACCTAACTCTCTGAGTCTGCTGTGCAGCAGGTTGTGTGTGCATGCATGTGTTTTAAGGATATTTATAGCTTTTTTGATTCAATATCAGTAGGGCTGACGAATGAAAACAGGTTCTTATTCTATTTTTTTTCACCAGTTTTTAAAATACCTTGGCAAAATGTTCAATTCTGTTTACAGTTTTCACATGCTTTTATTTAGATTTTTTATAGAAGTATTTTACCAAATACCATCAAATTTCAAATAAAAGGCTTTTATTTTCCCAAAGAAGCGATGTCAAGGGGATTTCCTGATTAGTTCACGTATCACGTCTTTTGCGCGCTCGAGGTCGTTATTTCAAATCCTCTATGTTTCAAATAGGCGCACGGGAAGCGCGGCGCGCGCTCATTATGCGCTCACGGGAAGCGCGCTCATAAACTTTTCAGTATGGGAGTGCACGTGCACCCAAACACTTGGGTGTTTTTTCTCTTTTCCGTAAATAAATCTTTTAGCAAAGCTACAGCAAGCGTTTTTCTGTGGTGGAAATACATTAGCTACAAAAACTTCTTTGTCGTTGTGGAGAGAGCGCAGTGTAATAAGTGCATGGTTCTATAGCAACGACAGCCATGGGAAAATCAATACGAATTTTACTATTAATAATAAAAGATAAGTTACTGTGCATTATAAATGTCCGGAATGTATCTTTATTGACTCATTCTTTTTATAGAGATGATTTAAATGCTGAAATATGAGGTTTATCTTTATACAAAACCTTTTTTTGTGTGTTAACCTTTTTTAAGTTTAGTAGTAAGAAAGCAAGACACTCCTTTAAAACAATTATTTAATGTTATTAACTTGGTGAATTGATTTCACTGTGTATTAGGCTTTTTGAACAAGATTCTGTGTATGTGATCATTTTGGTCACTATATTATCTAATACTTTTCATAATGATCAACTAAAATCAACTTTAATTACAGTAAAAAGTTTTTACAGTAGCCTATAATATGCAAAGGATTTCTTTCTTTTTTTTGGGGGGGGGGCGCTCGAAGGGTGTCTCGCCCTGGGTGTAATTCAAAGCAGAACCGCCACTGTTACTTATACTGGTTTAGGATTTTTGTTTCTCTCTAGAATGATAGCAATCATGATAATAAGTGTGTTTATTAATTATTAGGGGTGCAGTGCAACAGATCGCAGTTGATCTGTGATCTGTACGGAACAGGCACCACGGATCAACGCCTCAACGTATGTGATTCGCGGATTAACTTCAAAATGTAACCATTCTAGAGTGAAAGTTTATCATTTGGATGCATTTTTGTCTTACACATTCAAATGATTTTAAATGTGTAAGAAGAGGCAAAGAGTTTTAATTTGCGTTTTAATCATATCAAAATACCCATCTTGACAAGTATTCTCTTGGTTACATCATAAGTGAACAGTTGAGAAAGGAACCGGACGGGTGTCAGTATATTTGGTCCATACATTCAGTCATAAAGTGACAGCAGCCTAATATTCCTGCTGTTGTCTGTCATTACTGTTAATGCAATAAAAAAACAGCATCATCATCAACCATTTTTGAGAGAAAAGAAGGTAGTGAGGAGGGAAGTTATGACAATAGCTTGTAGGATGAGTGTGCTGTATAAAGTGTGAGTACCAAGCAAGTTCAAGTCCCAAAGTCCCAATTCTCAACCAAAAAAGTTATATGCACCCCTGTGTATTTAAAAGAAATGCACAGAAAAAAAGGAAAACAAAAAACAGCATTAAAGAATGTATATATATATATATATAAATTAATGAATTTTAACATTGATGAGCAATCTTTCTTGAGCACCAAATCAGCATTAGACTGATTTCTGAAGGATCATGCGACACTGATGACTAGTCATTTACCACCACAAGAAATAAATTGGTGATATATCACTAATATATATATATATAGTTTTATTTCTGACGTGGTG